AACATTTACTAAATAATATATAAAAGCATGTATTCACTTTTTTTAAAGGGGTGGTATAATGCCCCATTTTACAATATATAAAATAAGTCTCTGTTGTCCCCAGAGTGTATATGTGAAGTTTTAGCTCAAAATACCCCACAGATAATTTTACAGCATGTTAAAATTGTCCCTTTTTGAGGGTCAGTAAAAACCGTGTCGTTCCATGTGTGTGTCCCTTTAAATGCAAATGAGCTGCTGTTCCCGGCACAGAGGGCGGAGCTTCAAGAGCTTGTGTGTGTGTGTGTGTGTGTGTGTGTGTGTGTTAGCAGCTCCGATTACCTCACGTAGACAAGCACCAAAATGTCAGAAACTGATCTACCTTTTATGTTTAAACTGGAGTCGGACAATGATGGAGAGACTCAAGAAGAAGTGACAACATGTAGATTGCAACAGGACGTTTCTGAATGGTTAGTTGATGAATTTATTTAGCTGATGTGGAGTTAACTATCTTCAAGTCTTTGATTAGCATACTCTGTCATGATAATCTCTAAAATCGCTTGTGTGGGAACTGTTATAAGATGCCTACAGAGTGACATGCTATTGCATTTGTGTTACGTACTGTATTGCATGTGAAAAGACGGATGCGACAGCTCAAGCAGACTCCCAAATGTGCTCTACTACAACAACTCTACTCTTCTCAACATGGACTGCGTGTTCCCTAATGATGTCACTAACCCGGGAGGAATGTCATGTAGTCCCTACCAGCAGTTTGTTGTAGTCTTTAAAAAACGATTTCTTTAAAAGCAAATATCATCCTTTGCTTTGAACTTTGAGCATTGTAACTTTGCAGATGTTGTTTATGCTCAAACAGCAACATCACACACTAACTAAAGTTAGAAAAGTGAAATCATAATCAACCACCCCTTTAATATCATATATTATTTTATTATAAATTATTTTTATTATTATATATCTATATATTTTTTTTAATGCATTTGTGACTCACAAAACTTTGCATTGTGTATGCGGCCGAACATGTCAAATCGGAATGTTCCATCCAGGATTTACCTCATTAATGTGAATTAGGAACCTATTAGACTCTTCCTCTGGGTCAATAACGCCACCCTTTTCCTTCTGCCGTTCCATAATCTTCTGGAGCGCTGCCCATTTCGTTCTAAATTCCCCACCGATGACCACATCCTCCTGCTGTGAGTGAAGCAATAATAAACACAATGTTCATGTGTATCCACAGCATGTGACCAGTGAGCATACATTAGGGTGTTGAGCTTTCAAACTAGACATCCTGGCATAGTCAGCTACAACAAGAGGGACTGCACATCGGACAATGATGCACTGTTTAAAAAAAATCTACTGCTTGGCACTGAACACAAGAGTGACTTTGTCCACTTGACATTTCTAACAATGATAAACGTCATGCCCAGGCCAGTTTAGCTTGACCCAACTGCTAAAACCGTGTCCACAGAGAATGATACACTGTGCCCATATGTCTTACCTGAGTGAAAATTGGAGCAGGGGAGGAAAGAAGAGCATCCAAATCGTAGGTCACAGGCTCTCGACACACAGGGCAAACAACAGCCAACTCCTGTTAATGAAAGAATCTCATTTATATCAAAAATGCCTTTTGTTTACAGCATACCTCACTGCACATTTATGTTTTGCAATTAGCTATATATTTTCAAAGAAATGTTGAAGCAGATTATATAATAGTTACATAATACACAAAATCTTTGACTGGGATGTAATGCTACATATTTACCATTGTAATATGTAGCATTTTGCTCTAAGGCAAAACAGTACAGAAACTATATTAAAGTGTCCACCCTATTTTTCAGGTAAGAGTGGGTGCGGCCATTTGTAATTTGAATGTGTCTGGCTTCCAGTTATTTTTAGCAGTACAAAACAGCTTGTTATGCTGTTTGATATTGCAAACTGGTATTTCTTACCATATTATTTTAATGTAGTGTCTTAATTAAACACTCTGGTTTGTAGCACAAACAGATTTATAGTTTACTGCACTTTGATATATTCTTCTCGTTATTTCTCTATAGCGGCTAATAAATCGGAAGTCTTGCACAGTCACAGAAAACACCTTACTTCTGTGTTGAAAAACAAGGTGGATACAAGATAAGGAGACTGTACGTATCCTCTGCTATGATGAACAGCCCCACCTCTTTTTCCGTCTGGTCTCTAGTTTTATCCTCCTCCAGCTCCCTCTCACGGTCCTGCAGCTCCATCTCAGAGTGAGTGATGTAGCGACCAAGGCAGTGCGAGTGGAAATAGTGATAGCAGCTGGTCTTAGTGAACACTTCCCCTTCCTATGGTTAGGATAAAACAGAGGAAGAGGAACAAGTTCAATTTTACAAACAGGCCACAGAGCACATTATGTGCATATTTTTATGGTACTCTCACAATTAAAACACCCCACCTTAAAGCCGTACAGACAGATGACACAGTTTCCATGGGGAATATTGCTCTCAGTCAGTATCTCTTTAGCTCTCTGTGAGGATAAAATAGAGAAATCATCTGAGACAAACACAAGATAAAAGGAAAATACACTATCGTTTGAGGTTGAAGCATTTTTAAAAAAAAAGATGTTTTATTAGAAAAATGTCTCTTATTTTAAAATGCCATTTATTCCTGTGGTGGCAAAGCTAAATTTTGAGTCTTTAAATTTAAAGTCTTCATTGTCACAAGATCCTTCAGAAATGATTCTAATGTGCTGTTTTGCTGCTCAATACATTTATTCTTATTATTATTATAATCAATGTTGAAAACAGTTGTGCTGCTTAATATTGTTGTGTTGGATTCTTTGATGAATAGAAAGTTCAAAAGAACAACATTTATTTGAAATTGATTTTTGTAACATTAATAATGTCTTGCATCTGAATAAAAGTGTAAATTCCTTTAAAAAAAAACATATTGACCCCAAACATTCGAAAGTTATATGTAGTTATGGACCGAATAAGGAATCTAACCTCTATGAGCTGATACAGTACAGGTGTCCCCATACATGACTCTGCCTCCTTCTGCAAACTGCTCTGTAAACTGACAAAAGAGCAGCATGTGAAAACACCGGAAAGAGTAAGAAGTGAAACAGCACATTCTGAATTTTAAACATAACAATATCTAATAATAATCAATCACCTGAGCAATTTATCATCCGAGAGTCCACGTGGATTGTGAATAGAGATGCAAGGGGATGAATATGGATACTGAAAATAAATAACAAATACACCAACAGAAAGTAAGTTGCTATAAAGGAGTGTCAAGTAAATAGATCCATCAAATATTATAGCAATTTAACCAACAAACCTGAGAGTTCAAATCCATTGTCAGTGTAAGACGGACAAACTGAGAGAGACAGTCCTCCGCAGTGGAGGGATAGAGTACCAAACTGACTGTCCACCCTCTAATTGAGAAAAATATGACATCTTTATTTCTGTTCAGGTTAATAACAGTTAACTATATTATTATCTCCGGAAATTTATGAAAAACTAAAAGAGCAATAAATGATAAAACATTCACCCTTCATCACTCTGAGTAACACTGAGCTCATCCAAGTAGATGGACTGCAGCACTTCAATTTCAGACAGGACACTGTGGTGTCAAACAGATGAGAATTTCGAGTACAACTGCTTTAATGTAACATTAACATGAGTATGACACATCAGATAACCAGAGACGCTGGGTCAAAGGCACACAGTAAAACACTGTTTATTTAGATACTGACAATTGCAACGCCCATGACTACACCGGTTAGGTCCGAACAACTTAACTATGGATTCACTTATTTACTGTTATTCTCGGACAAAATGATTTATGTAGTTTTCTGTATAAATTAGATTGTATCATTAAATTGTTATGTTATCACATATCACGGTATGTAGTGTACTTAGTCACATATGGCAGCTCTCTTGTAAGTTACCGTTAACAAGTAACGTTATGCACTGCAAGTCTTCCAAATAAGGTATTTTAGTTCATATGTCAATCAACTCAGGATTTAGATAGTAATTAGTAATTAATACACGTTTTTGTCAGTATTTTCCAGCAACATAATACTCACTCGCTCTCGGCAGCCATGTTGGCGGTGACGTCACCATTCCACGACATCGGTCAGCTGACACAGAGCCGACTGACAAACAGATGGGAATTTTAAGGATGCAGGAGTTTATGATTCAGTTAGATCCCCTTTTCTTGAAACTATTATTTCTGTATCTCATGCAATCTTTAACTGGAATTATTTATTTAAAGTTGGAAAAAGATTTGGTCATTGCAACAAAAATACCTTCTCACTAATAAGGTCAAAGTCTTTAAAAATATTAAATATATTTTTCCCTGTCAAACATTTCATGACTAAATTTAAAGCTGATATTGATACAGAATGCTCAATTTCACACAGAAACTGTCCATCATTTATTTTGGTCATGTCTCATACTGAACAACTTTGGGAAAATATTGACACATTTATTAAAGTAATATCCAGCAAGATATATCCACAACTTCTATAGACATTATTATTGGATATTTTGATTCTGACCCTACTAAAAATAATGCTTGCTTTGTTATGAATTTTAATTTATCTTCTTTGTAAATTTTAAATGTAAGTTTACCAACAAGAAACTTTTTTTCTGTTTTTGAAAGTTTAAAATGTATCTTAAAATACGATTACATCTTCGGTTAATAAGAAAGTAGAACGTCTTCTATTTGTAAGGACTTTAATTTGTACAATGTAACTGATGTATAGAGTAATATCTTACCCTCATGTTCTTTTTTTTTTTTTTTAATTAGTTTTTTTTGTTTTTTTCAGCTCTTTGACTCTTTTCTCATTTGTATTCTGATGACATTTAACATTATACAAAATGTATTAATGTAAATAAAATTTTATGTAAATAAAAGTTTATGATTCAACAAACATGATTCATGGGTCAAATAAAATAACTTAAAACAAGTAAATTTTTGTACAAGTTGAACAGAGTTGTATTGAAAGAAGAAAGTGAGCATTCCGTTAAAATCATGTTTTATTGCTTATTTATTATTTGCATACATTAATGACATATACCAGGACAATTTTAATCCAACACGAAACATCTCTCACAAATAATAGTGGAACACATTAGACAGTTTGTGTATAGTGTCTTTCCTGGACCAGGCTTTTGATACCAGTGTAAAAACATGCCAGTCAATTCCCCTTTTGTAAAAAGCAAAAAAAAAAAAAAAAAAAAATGGATAAACGTGTAAACAAACGCTGATGTTCGGCACATAATAGTGATTTTATTCCTCTTGGCTTTATCTAAGCGCAGTGTTAACATAAAAAGGTCACATTTCTGATCTGTTAAGTTGACGCAAAGGAACAAAGTTGCAAAGGTGTTTGATTTGTCCTTCTTTCCATATCTTCCAAACACCTCTCCTCTAACAGCATTTCTTCCCTTTCTTCCTCCTCTCTCTATCCCTGTGGGAATTAATATGGACAGTGTCCTTTTCTCTCTCTCTCTCTCTTTCTGCTCGACTCTGGCTCTGTTTCTTGGCCCGAAGGACCATGTGGGTGAAAGCCATGAACATCTGCAAACAGAAAAGAATATAAGGCATGCATATTATACATTTTAATTTAACACATCAAAGTGGACAGAGACACAAAATGTATTTTCTTAATAAGTTGAACACTTTAAACATTCTATTCAAGCTAAAATGTTGATGATTTTTTTCATGAATTTGAGCTTAAATGAACAAACTTAAATATTGAGGATTTTTAAAGTCCCCCTGTAGTCAAAAATTGTATCCATTAAAACACATCTGATCACCAAAATAACACGTAACACAATAAAACGTTTTTTTTTCCTGTGATTTTTTATTTATTAATGCCTTAAAATAGCTTGAATGTACCTCTACACTCTTCCTTCATTTAGTATACGCGGAACCATGAATATGCTAAATTAGCCCCGCCTCCACTCACTCAAAGCAGCTCAGAGATTCACTCGGTCAACTTTACTGTAGTAAACGCTGCACAATGGCAAGTGGAAATACTGGTTTCATTCAGCCATATATGTTTGAACCAGAAACTGATTCAGAAGAAGTGGAAGAGTGAATTATACAGGCTTGTATACAAGTCGATGTATCAGAATGGTAATGGGTTTTATGTATCGCTCTCTACAACGCCGAACACCTAACGGTAATTAATATGATTAGCCTTTTGTTTGACTATGTTATAAACAGAGATTTCTGAGAAACACTGTTGATATTTAAAATCAACCCAAACAAACACACCCCTCCATTCATTGCTCCGCCTCCAAAATGCACAAACACGCAATACAAGACTGGATATGTCTCTTTATCATAGCAGAAGCGAAGTAAAATAAAGCTTGGCGAAAAGCAAAGATGACAAACAAACGACAAGGAAGAACAAAAAATTAACATACAGTACACAAGTATATACAAGCAAGAGATCGTTGTTAGTCACCAGAGGCACACACTCAAATCCATAGCCGCTTTGCCATCGTCGGGCCGAACGGTTCTTAGAATGGTAAGGAAAGGTTCCAGTTGTGTTTCTACTTAAGCCTGGCACGGCACGATTACAAACCGTTCTCAGCCCGGAATTCCCGTTTCGGTAGAACCCATGAAGTGATGTCACAACCAGTGTTGGGCAGTAACGCAGTTACTTTTGACAGTAACTAATACTGTAACGCATTACTTTTTAAATAAATTAACTCCGTTACCGTTACCATATGGCGCGTTGTCCGTTACTTTTTCAAATTAATTAGTTGCTGGAGGGGCTGAGAAGTGTGCGCTGTCATTACACAGTACGAGAGCACTGAAGAGACTGCTAGCATTATACAGAGCGAGAGGACACCTGAGGACACATAACAAACTCACTGGCTGAGTTGTACACGTGAGGCAGCGCGAACACGGAGATTACAAGCTGCACGGAGAGCGCTGAGCACTTGATGCGCATTTAAAACACAGACAGCGAAACGGTATGAATACAGAACACTTAAGTACACATTGCCATATCATTATAAAATAATAAATTTTTTGACTAGATGCTGCATCAGCAGAGAAAGAACAGAAGCTTGCCGTCGAGTCTGAGAGGAATAACATTAGTAACGGCTAACTTACCTCAAGCGATTAAAGCAATGTGACAAAAACACACGCAGACCTGACCCACATGTTTTATGTCGCAATTGTTACCATCTATTTGCATTAGTTTATGTCCAGCTGGTCACTTTTATGCATTCATTAGCCGGCGAAGTTGTATTTTTAAAACTAGTGACGTGATTGATTGCTTACATTGATGTGTTATCTTATTGTAAAGTGTTGCCATTTATATGATTCAAGCTTAAAGAAGATGGCCATATTTAAATATCTGCAAAGGCCAGAGCATTAAAATTACATAAATGTAGACCTATATTACATGTACAGTCTTTCACTTTATTTGCTTAAATTTTAGAACACTTGATTAGACTTGATGTCGGCTGCATGGACACATCAATGTAAGCAATCAAGTCACGTCACTAGTTTTAAAAATACAACTTCGCCGGCTAATGAATGCATAAAAGTGACCAGCTGGACATAAACTAATTTGTCCAGGTTCTCTCTTTATTAAAGTCCAAACTGTTAGAAAACAGCACAAATCGTTTTTCAGTCTGTAAATTAAATGTAACATTTTAAGTAAATTAAACGTTTTATACTTTTTACAAGTTTAAACTTTTCTTTGTGTGTAAACTGACACATTTCACTGCTTATCGACTTGCTTTATATAAACCTCGTACATTTCAAAATTTACCAACCTCTTTTATTTAAACCTGGGAACATCTCAGTGTTTACCAGCTTCCTGAAAATAAACCTGGGAATACTGTTGTCAAAGATTCCGACTTGGGTTTTTTAAAACGAAACAAGTGTGTTAGCGCTCGTCTGTGATTGGTTACAGTGATCAACGCTTCCAAAACATGTTATAAATAGACTTTGGCGCTTACACAGGTACGCACAGGAGCATTTGAATGCAGACGTCTATCAGCGGATCTCTAATATATCCGCTGATAGAAGAATCCGCTATAGACTTTCTATATCCGCTATAGAATCCGCTATAGAGAATCCGCTTTCAAACGCTCCCCTGTGTATCTATGTAAGCGCTCGGTGAAGAGCGTCAAAGATGTCTATTTACAACATGTTTGTCCCATTTATGGTATAAAAGCCGAAGTGCGTCCAGACTTTGAACTTAAACATGGCTGGGGTATCTATTATTGTACTTGCACTGATTTCCACCATCCTGTTAAAAACCTCTTTTTCTTAGGCTAGTTAACTCCTGGTTCACACGGCAGGATAATTAGGCCGATTTTAGCCCCGATTTACCCCTTCCGACAATCTTAAGGATGCTCCGATTATCGTAAATAATCTGATCAGATATTCCTGCCGTGTGTGGTGTGTTAAGACTGCTCTCGTCTGCTCGGAAGGACGTCGGGACCGCTCCGATCTCAAATCGGGGATATCCAACATGTTGGATTTTTTTGGCCCGATTTCTCCTCGTGTGTGGTGTCTCCCGGGGACAAACGAGCACGCAGCCTGTGGACTGTGGCGTGTAGCCAATCAGAAAGCGAGGTGACGAGGCGCAGAGGAAGCACCGGGAAACAAAATCAAAATAGTCCATGCTCGCGTTGTCTCCACTTCTTTGACCATCGCCTTTTCTTTTGGTAACGTTTTTTTTTTTTTGGGGTTAATTTAATAATAATAATTCATTACATTTATATAGCGCTTTTCTAGGCACTCAAAGCGCTTCACATGGAAGGGGGAATCTCCTCAACCACCACCAATGTGCAGCATCCATTTAAAAACAAACTACACTGGTTGTTTACTCTGAAGTCACGTTTGATCTCGAGGGATTTTGCGAGTGTTTCCGTATGACCTGGGAATGCTAGGGAGTCAAATCGGTTCGTGCGTGATGCGTTGATTTTGCCGTGTGGCTGCGCACCACACACTGTACGACCAAAACTGTTAGACCCGTGATTTTTTATCGCCGTGTGTGGGGTCTCTCAGGTTTGGAAAATCGGCCGACAATTTTAAAATCGTTCCGTGTGAACCAGGCTTTATGTCCACGTTTCACGTTCACATGTTCATGTGTTGAGCGCCACCTCGAGGAGCCATGAAGTAGCGACGCTGGGAGCAGGGAAATCTATTTAGAGCGCCTTATTTTATTAATTAAAAATCGATATTTGGCACCAGTGTATTTTTTTACGCGTTTTTAGGCGCTATATGTGAACCGAGCCTAACCGTACCGGCTGGCCCGGATCAGTACGGAATGGAACAGTTGCGCAATAAGAACTGTTCGGCCCGACGGTGGAAAAGCGGCTATTGTTACTCATGTATAGAGCAGAATCAACGTAACCTCTGCTTCTATTTTCAGGCCTTCCCGCTTAAGACTCTCCAGTGCTGGAAAGCTTTTCTAATGTTACCGCGGGTCCTAAAGCCCTCCTTTATATCATAACCCCTCCTTTTCCTGTGATATTCCTCTCTATTGTAATGTCTCTCAGCCATCACTCTTTCTACAGTGTTTCTTCAAATCTCCCTCTTGCTCAATCTCTCGCTCTCTCCTCCCCCATCACGCGTTTACGCCCCCTGCTGCTGATTGGCTACAAGTGAGTTGTGCTGCTCAGTCCGATCCACTTTCAACAGCGTCTCTCAGAAATCACTTACTGCACCTTTAAATGAACTTAAAATTCCAAATTTTGTGAATACAGTTCACAGCAAAACAAACCTCACCTCTTCTACGTTGATATTCTCTTTAGCGCTCGTCTCAAACAACCTCACACCAACTGACTCTCCAAAGCGCATAGCATCTTGGCTGTCCACAAGCCTTTTAGAAGGATCATCGTTCTTGTTTCCCACTATTAGTGATCATAGTGAAAAGGAATATTAAAAGTTGGCTTACAACAAATTCGGGTTTGGAACATTTCTTTTCATATCACAATACATAACCAGGAAGTAAATTAAGTTAATAAAACGCAAAGTTGTGTGTTTAAACTAACCTAATATTTTGCAGACGTTGTCACAGTTCTGTGAGATTTCGTTTAACCACCTTTTCACGTTGACAAATGATTCAGGGTTTGTAACATCGTAAACAATGATGACACCATGAGTGTTTCTGTAATACCTAGAGGAATACAGCAAACATGTAAGGGGGAGACGAGAGAGATCATAAAAATGGTCAAACAGATCAAAACTTAACGGTTTGACTAGAGCGAGGCTTACGTCGAGGTGATGGTTCTGAACCTTTCCTGCCCTGCAGTGTCCCAGATCTGGAGTTTAACTCTTTCTCCGTCAATCTCTACTGTGCGGATCTTGAAGTCAACTCCAATAGTGGTTATGTAACTTCCTGTGAGGAGCACAAGACCATGATTTTATAACATTTCAACTCCTTAAACACTGTCAAGCAAGCATACACTCTCACTTTGTCTTGGACATGAGAACACAATGAATCAGATCATATATTTACAGACCCTTTGCCTCACTTTCGGTCTCTCTCACAGACACGCATTCTGTGCCAAGCAGACTCACCAGAGAATGAGTTGTCTGCAAATCGTAAGAGCAAACTGCTTTTCCCTACATCTGCAACAGAGTCAGAGTAGCATTTGTTAAATGTTCATCTGTAATACCTCAGTGCATTTATATTTTGAATTAAACATGACAGTATTTTCTATAATAAAACAAGATTATAGTAATAAATAGATATTTATATTAACGGTTTAAAAAAATGAATATATGAGAATAAAATGGCAATAAATAGTCCCCACAATAAATAAAAATAAGTGCAATGGCATAGCGTGAACACAACAACACTAACAAAAATGTCTCAAATCGTCCAACTTAACACTGCTTAAGATGTCCCTTTGTGACAAAGGTCACAAATATTATCACAAATAAAAATACTCAGGGGTGAACTGGCATTCATGAGCCTATTCATATCTTTACAGAGACAAATGCTACTTAGCTGCACAGTTACAGCGTGTCAGTGGCCACACCAGACTAGATGAGGCAGATGTGGTTAATACCACAGAAAAATAATTACAAACATGAACTCTTGACTTGAGAATGCATTACTGAGAGTAAATAATCAAGATTACACATTTGCAAACAAACAAAGAGTTCTATGAAAGTGGATGCATAAACAGGCTTGTTAAAATCAGCATTAAACAAATTCACAAATTTTTTTATTATTAACAATTCATCCAATTAGCTTCCACTTAAATGTTTTTTTAACCTTGTAGTGTTTAATTAAAATGTCATAACTAGATCTTTGGGTGAAACAAATACATCTCTCTGGGGATGTATGCCAAACTGTCACTTTTTGTGAAGACCACCTTCAAAATCCTATACACAACTGATGAATTGAACCAAGTCCCTGCCTTATTTTTATTTATTTTTTTATCTGATACACTCAGATGTATGTCACAATACGGAAGAAAATATCTGTTGTTACTTCTATTTCAATGCAACGTTTTAAAAAAAGAAGCAGCAAAAAGCATAAAGAATCCTGTATTTTGTTCATAAATGGGGATATTAAATGCCTGGAGAAAGGTTTATAGTAAATTCACATAAGCCAGTTATGCATCCATGATACATAACTTATTTATGTGCATTTAATATGAAAGCAAAGGACAACTACAAGCGATGTAGCTAAAACTTTCACAGATCATTTCGTCACAGTACGCATACCACACAAGTGCATAGTATGCATACTCATGAACTGTTCAAATGACTAAATTTATGTAGGGATGAGGACTGATGTTACTCACTCACACAGTTTCATTTCAGCTTAAATTGTGAAATTGCACAACAACATTCCAGTAAATGCACAAGTCTCGAGCATTCTTAGTAATGGACAGGGTGCTACAGAAATAGTTGGGCTTAAACACTTATTTTTTTGCCAAATATGAGTAATTCTCTCTGTCTGATTGGGTTCTCCATTAAAGAGCCAGATAGAAAAGCTGGAACAAAAACATAATTTGTTAGCAAGTGTATAAAAACACAAAAGTACTGACTGGAGTCACCAATGATGAGCAGCTTGAAGAGGTGATGGTAGTCTTTTCCCGCCATTCTTCTGTTCAAAATGTGTCCTCATGAAACAAGTTTAACAGCTTTCAACACCTTTATTTCACTTTTCCTGAGTCTTAAAATGCCAGGAGGTTTAGAGTTTTGGGTGAAATACTCCAAGCATCATGTGATAGTCTTTCCAGTTTTCCTCAGAATTCAAGTGTGAAATGATGCATCAGTTTGATTTCACTGCATTCCCATTTATGAATTAGTGATTCTGCATTGCCTGTGCAATATTTTACCATTTACCATTTACCATTTAAAACACTTTAAATTTCAAGTAATATTTCCATTGCTTAAAATCTATGTGAAATGTACTTTTCGTCGCCTCGCCTTCAAGAGCAAACACATTACCACATTTTGTGGTTAAGTATCAAATGACTCGGGTTACAAAGTGAGCAGTTCTTTAATCACCGATGGTGCTCATAATGCCGAGTTATGAGTGCGTCAGGGACCAAATTACCCAGAAAAAAAGGGCAATTTGTTTGAGATCCAAGTTGTTTTGTTTCCAAATCTTGATTTCCCAGATATGTAGATGGCATCTCGGTCACAACAATTCCATTCCGCCTGTTTAGCCAATGCATGCAGGGGCTGGTAGCTTCCCTCGCTTTCAAAGATCACTGTTACTCAAAGACACTGTAGGAATGCAGGTTTAAGCCGGAAGTGATATAAGTCCTAGTCGGTCCCCTTCAAGCCCTAATCCTAGAAAAAAGAAGGAAAGAGACAGGTATTACTTATGGGTCTTGTTCAAATTATTTAGACATGCACCCCTTTTGCCCAGAACAGCAGCTGTGGCACTAAATTTAGCTTCTCCCACTCTGACAGACAAATGACACCCTCGAAACCACATGCACCAGCTTTACGCTAGGATTTATGGATGGAAATCAGGATATATGTACACACACATCTTTCCCCTTACAATTGAAACCAAAACAGTGGACAGAACGATTAAAAGCCCACATAAATTTTACTGCTGAGTCAAGACAAAGCTAGAGACTCCGTAAACTGGCCAAATGTTCCATGAAAACAGGAAGGGACGGTTTTTCCTGAGCTGCCGTTGCGAGGAGGGTACAGGCTTCTCATTACAACACATTTTTTTGTCTAAAATGAAGGCAATATGATAAACAGTAATGTCCTTCAGGCAAATGAGATCCTTTTAACACGAAAAATGTGGAAGAGAAGTGAAACTGACACACCTAAGCCTAGGTCCGCTTATCAGACAAAAAAAAAAAAAAGTGAAAACCATTTTGGTGCCACTGCCAACACATCTAAATCTCTCAATGCAAACACGTCAAAATTAAAAGTGAAACTACTCGGTGCTCTAATAGCTACTACTAGCAGCTACTGGAATAAACAGTCAAATCACGGGATAATCACAAGAAGGAGAATCATTTGTAGAATTAGAGGCAGATTCACTTTATTCTGTTCGTTTATACGGTAATCATTATTGTCCTTCTTAGATAAGCGCCCTTGCGTCTGTATTACAAGAAAATCTCGCGCAGTAACTTAATCCTTAGAAACTCAGAATCATGGATCGATTAAACAGACACAACTGTAAAAACATGCCGTCGTACCAAACCTCAAGTTGAACTCTCGCCTTAATCTGCTTCTTAAGTTCCGTCTCCGTTAACCACTTGGTCAAACTTGTGTACATCTACTCAAATCAGCAACTCGTCGGCTGTAATTTACTCAGTTGTTTTGAAATGCAGCTAGGCTAGCTACTTAACTAGCCGCAGATGCTCTAAAGATAATAAGATCAAACTCAAAGCTAAAGAAAAACTCACCGAACACACTTTAACCCACATATTCCAAGCACGCTGGGGAAAACACGGAAGACTTGGCACAAGTTCCTGCTAGGGCGGTTGGTTAGTGTCGGGTTAGTCCTGCAGAGAGCACCGGGATCCGGGAATCCAGTGTTAGGGGAAGTTCGGACAGTGTCACAGCGGCCGCAGAGATCAGATCCGCCTATCTGAGGGCGCCGCACCTGAATGTTGAGTCACTCTCATCCTCATCATGTGCCCGAGTTTCTTTGTCTCCTCCTCCTTCTCCTCATGCCACTCCTGTTGCTGCTGCTGAGATTGCCATCGCTATTTTGTTGCAACAAACAAACTGATGACATTCCAGCCACACTTTTGAACTGAGTCAAAACCAAGCTTACCAACAGAAACAACATTTTTGGCCATTATATGTCTATTCTTCTCATTTAAAATACTGGGTAGGCAGGCCAATACGCTCTGGGACAGGACGTAAAGGACCATCAAATGTTTAAAAGTGCACTCAGCCATTTTTCGCCATTATAAAAAAGTTTTACAAAGAAATCAATAGTTATTTTGAGAAATATGTTTAAAAATGATTTGCACATACGTGAATTTAAAACTCCAGCTGTAGCATAAGGCGTTTTATTTTGCACGAAGCGGGTCGCCTCATGCCGTTTTGAACACAGGCCCTTTTATCCATAGATTCAAAGCGACTTATAAATGAGAACAATAGAAGCAGTTAAACTAACAATAGGACAACAATATGCAAGTGCTATGACCCTTCCCAGTTTAATCTAAAGGCAGTACATTTACTTTTTATTTATTATAGGCTACAAAGATATAGAATAGAAGATAAAGTGTTAGTATTAATGGATCAGGTGTTGCCGAAATAGATGCGTCTTCAGCCGTTTCTTGAAAGTGGCTACTGACTCAGCAGCTCTGGTTGAGTTAGGCAGATCATTCCACCAGCATGGAACAGACCAGGAAAAGGTCAGAGAAAGAGATTTTGTGCCTCTTTAAGATGGCACCACAAGACGGCGTTTACTTGCAGAGCGCAAGTTTCTGGATGGCACATAAGTCTGAAGTAATGAGTTTAGGTATAAGGGACCAGAGCCAGTGGTTGTTCTGTAGGCAAAAGTCAACTGGCAATCAGTGCAGTTTTTTGAGGAGAGGAGTGACGTGTGCTCTCTTCAGCTCGTTAAAGACCACTCCAACTGCAGCATTTTGGATCAGTTGCAGAGGTTTGGTAGTGCATGCTGGAAGACCTGCCAGGAGAGCTTTACAATAGTCCAGTCTGGATAGAACAAGTGCTTGGACAAGGAGTTGTGTAGCATGCTCTTTTAGGAAGGGCCTGATCCTCCTAATGTTGTACAAGGCAAACCTGCAGGACAGGGCAGTTCTAGCAATGTGGTCTGTAAAAGTTCAATTGATCATCAATCACAACTCCAAGGTTCCTGGCTAACCTTGATGGAGTTATGGATGACGAGCCTATAGCTGAATGGAGAAGTTGTGATGAAGTGTTGAGTTGGCCAGGACCACAAGCAGCTCTGTCTACGCAAGGTTTAGTTGAAGGTGGTGGTCCTTCATCCAGCCATAAATGTCAGTCAGGCAGGCTGAGATGCGAGCAGGAGCAGCTACCGTTAATCATCAGGCTGGAATGAGAGGTAGAGTTGTGTGTCATCAGCGTAGCAGTGATAGGAAAAGCCATGTTTCTGAATCACAGATCCTAGTGATGTCATGTAGATGGAGAAGAGAAGTGGTCCAAGCACTGAGCCCTGAGGCACCCCAGTAGCTAGAAGTTAGGTATTAGACACCTCATCCCTCCATGACACCCTATAAAGGACCTACCTGAGAGGTAAGACTTGAACCATTGGAGTGCCGTTCCAGAGATGCCCTTCGTCTTTAGGATTGACAGAAGGATCAGGGGCCCGTTTCAATAAGGAGGTTCAACCAACTCTGAGTTAAAACTTGAACTCTGAGTTGACTTTTACCCTGAGATGGGAAACTCTGAGTTTTCGGTTACAGAACAGCTGAAATGAGTTAGTTCAATCAACTCTAAGTTGACTGACTCTGAGTTAAGCACATTAACCACAACTATAAAAAGCCATTATCAATGGAGCGCAGATATTATGAGTCACCATGGCAACAGCGCCAGACAAAAAGAGGTCTGCGTATTTCTCACCAGCGGAACTGTTTTAGGTTGGGAGAAAACAGTTGCTCGAGTCAATGCTTAAGTTTACATTTTAATTACTGTTATACAGTGTTGGGTGTAATTAATTTAACCACGTAATCTACTGTAATTCAATTAAATGGATTACTCTTAATTCTTCTGTAATTTAAAGTAAAATCTGATGTAATTGCATTAAATACTGCATAGACTATAGAACAATTCTGTTTAAAACAATAGTGGATTTAACATACATTTTTAAAAGGTATATTTTTAATGTTACCTTCTCCCTCTACTCTCTTTGGTCAATTCAAGAATAATTCATGCAATTATTGTTAATTTGAAAGCATTAAAAGTGCAGTTTCTTGTCTCTCCTTGTATTGTTCAAGTGGTTGAGGTTGATATGGGATTTAGTAATTCGTAATAAATAGACCAATACATTCTAGAGATAGAAATTATTACATTAATCTAATTACACTGTTGAAGATGTTATTTGTAGTTAGTAATTAATAACTATTTTAGAGTAACTTACCCAACTGTTATAATATCAGAGGTGAAAGTGGAAGAACATGTTATTCAACCTAATTTTAATTTTCATGTAGGTGCAATCCTGCAGGCATTAAAAGAACGGCAGCTGAAAATGAAATATAAAAACATAATTCAATCAGGTACGACTTGAGCATATCATGGCTGTAGGCTACCTGACATAACAAACATTTAACATATTAAATAAGTAAATAGCATCCAGCAGTGCAGCAGCATTTTTGACATAGGTCTAATTCTGTTTTCACACAATTAAATGTTCATTCTCATTTGACTTCTACTCAGCCAACAGAAAACAAGGCAGAGGCTCACAAAACGGGGGGAGGACCTGCACCACCACCTCCACAAATGCAGAAAAGATGGAGATGGAGATTGAGGGCCTTCATAAAATTGAAGATGTGTTATTTTTTTATATAGGCTATTTTTGATATTTCCATTTATTTTACTTTGGGTTGGGTTTTTTGTTGGTCCCAACAGATTCTGATGGTAATTCTGTCTTTTGGAGCCTCCTGTCCCAACAGAACCCCAGGCAGTTGTAAGTACTCAATACACCAAAAATTATGACAAATAGTATTCTAAAGTTTACTCAATCAAATGCTCATCTTCACAGGACGATGGGGATGAAGAAACAGTTTCTGCTTCCATAGAGAGGCCTACAGAGGTAATGTTAATATTATGTGTCTAGAAATCAAACAATCTACACATTCACATTTCTATGTGGAGTAGCCTAGAATCTAAGTTTATATCTAAGTATAAATGGACATT